CGCTTAGTTTGTTTTATCACCTTTGCCTCTTGTCCTTGACATCTGACACCCTATCTGATACACACACACATTCAGTCAACACTTGTGTGACTATTCAATCGATATGATTTCAACCACTTTCCCCAATAATTCGCTACTGCTACATGGGAACAGATCTGCACATTCAAGCTCAAGCCCGTGTAGAAATATGCACTGACATTTGGAAAATATCGATTCACTGAGCTCTACATTCTTTCCAAAGGTTTCCCTACATGAAATAAAGGGTCGTGTTTATTAATACCTCTACCATCCCATCAAGGGTCTTTGAGGGTTAGAAAGAGGATAAGCCCTGTGTCACAGACATGAGTTCTCCAGTCTTTCACATGAAAGTTCTACTTTTGTCATTGACTACAAAATGATGAAAACTGCTGTCTCTAAAGAGGCAGGCTACTTTACTCACAGTGTGCAATGTCTTTCTTCGTATAGTACTGTACAGGCATTTGCGACAGTTACCCCTGAAGCTAAACTATCTCAGCGTTTGTACTGATGAAGCAAGGACGCCCTTGAGGGAATATGTGTTTTGTCGCTCATGTTTCCTGGGAGTTCCAGACGGTGAAGAATGCGCTAGGGCTGGGGCGGGTGAAGAATGCGCTAGGGCTAGGGCGGTCTGCTGTGACTGCACTGCTGTGTTCTAACGCCCTGGGACTTTGAACCATCGATGCTTTTGTACAATCAGTACAAATGCCGATGTAAGAGCCAAAGGCCAATGTCTCCGCGTTATTATGGGAATAGTTCTGAAGATGGAGAGATGACTCAGGGGTTAAAGTGCTTGCAGTTCAAGCATGAGAACCCAAGTTCAGGTCCCAGAAATCCCCACAGACGCCAGGTGGATGACACAGCCCACTTGTAAGTCCAGCTGCAAAAGATGAAGACAGGGGCTCCCTAGAGCAAACTGGTCAGCAAGACTAACCATATCAGAGACTTCTGGATTTCACTGAGAGACCCTGCCTCAATGATTAAAGGAGAACAGCGCAGAAGGTGATCCCTGATATCAACCTCAGAGCCCTACATGCTCAAGTAAGTGCTCGCTCTCTCTCTCTCTCTCTCTCTCACACACACACACACACACACACACACACACACACACGAAAAATAAGGAAATAGTTTGGCCTCACAAACCCCTGAAAAGGTTTCACTATACCTTACAAGTTCACAATCACACATTGGGGTCTACTGGTTTGTAATATTTCAGTGGGCTCACTCATTGTAGAATACATCTGAACATTCATAAGAATGGAAAGAAAAGTCACACACAAAAGCTTTTGAAATCTATATCCCACTGTCAAAACCACTTGGGAAAGGACTTTTAGAACAAAGTTAATGGACTCACATTTTTTCAATTTCAGGTGAGATCAAAGTGTTCAGGGTGATATGGACATAGACAACACTTTTCTATTTCCTAAGTTTTCACAAAGCTATGGTAACCAAGACAAGTAAGTGGGAGCTATACAAACATTTTGTAGAACTGAGAACTTAGAAATAAACCTTCCTCTTTATTGTCAAATGAAATTTAACAAGAAGTACAAACAACTCTTCCAGGGAAAAATATTCCCTTGAAGAGCTAATGCTGGGTTAACTGAATACTCACATACGAAAGATGAAAATGACCCCTACCCCAACCACACACAGAGCCACTCAAATGGGGGACGGGAAACTTGACACACCTGAGTTTAGTGCTCACACCCCACAACTCCCTCCAGGTCTAGAAGGTCCAGTGTCCTCTCTCAGATACACAGGCACACAACCATACACAAAATTACAAAAGCATAATAAATATTTGTAAATCAATTAATTCAAACTGTAACAAAAACATTCAGAAATGGATCTAAATATTAGAACAAAGAAGGTAAAACTCAAAAAAAAAATGTAGGTGGGACAGGTGATGGCACACGCCTTTGATCCCAGCATTTAGGAGGCAGAGGCAGACAGATCTCTGTGAGTTCAAGGCCAGCCTGATCTACAAAGCAAGCTCCAGGACAGCTAGGTCTATATAGAGAAACCGTGTCTTTAAAAAAAAAAAAAAAAGGGAGGAAGGGAGGAAAGGAGGGAGGGAAGAAGGAATGGAGGGAGGGAGAGAGAGAGAGAGAGAGAGAGAGAGAGAGAGAGAGAGAGAGATGGAAACCCCTCCAATCTGCCAATCTGGGTTTAGTTGGTGACTTTCTAAATATGGCATCCAAGACACAAGTGATTAAGAGGGCTGGTAAGTGGAGCTTCGCCAGAATGTAAAACTTCTTGCTTCCAAGTTCAGCATCCAGAAAAAGAGACAGTCACAGATGTGGCTAAAGCGTTTGCAAATCCTACATGTTATGAGGGACTTGTCCTTGGAGTAGTTAAAGAATGCTTATTCTTTGTGGGCAAAAAGACAGCAATTTTAAAATAGGCAAAGGATGCAAATAGATGTTTCAGGAAAGACACACGAGGAGTTCAGCAATGAGATGCTATTTCACGCCCACCAAAGAAGAGATTATCAAAATCGTGACAACATTGGCAATGATGCAGATAAATTAGAGCCCTTGTAGATTATGGGGGAAAGTCCAGTACAGTTCCTCCACTTCAGAAAACAGTTTTAAAGGTCCTAAAAAAGTAAAACACACAGTTACTATGAAATTGCTCAATTACCCAGCAATGCAGTAGTAGGTATAGGCTCCAGAAAATTATGAAAATAGGAGTTTGCATTTAAAATCATACATAGATGTTCACAGGCCCTCAAGAGTACGGATAAGCCATGTGTCCATCAACTAATGAGTGAATAAATACAATGTGGCTTACAAAGATAATGAAGTATCATCAGCCATAAAAATGAATGAAATATTTACAGGTATTACAATATGAATTCTCAAAGGTGTTAAGTGAAAATAATTAGCTGCAAAAAAAAAAAGAACTCCTTTATATTTTATGATTGTTCTTATCTGAAATGCCCAGAACAAACAAATCTATGGAGACAGGAAGTAGATTTGAGGGGCCCTGATGGCACAACAGCTAACTGATGAAAGATTATTGGGGAAAATCAAAATGTCCCTCGGTTAGATCAGAACAGGGACTATACGGCTGTGGACGCACGCTCTAACGGAGGGGAACAACGGTACGCCAATTACACCTTACCAAGCAACTGGAAGCCAGAATGAATGGAGAATCCATGGCCACAGTCGTTTAGAAACAAAATTGACAGTGTCTCCTTCATCACTTGGTACACGTGTGGCTTTGAAGAAGAAAAAAAGTGAGAAGAAACCTATTCACCAAAACCAGAAGCAGGGTATCTCGCTGCTATTACTGAAAATGATAAAAGCCTGGCCACTGTGATATCTGGGAAAAAGAACCTCAGGTCCTCAGCAGGGTCCCTTCTAACATCACATGGCTTCTAAAGAAGAGCCCACTGGCTCTGAGGTCACCGGGGGTTAACTGTGGGGCCCTGTGGTTTAACACCAGACACCCTCGGGGAACCTACGGCTATGTGCCTCACTATCAAGACCACTTCCTCAGCTCAGACAGCTCAAGACTTTCTTCTAGAAACCAAGCCAGCACTGTTCTCCCAAGACTGGCTATGTGTTCTGTCTGTTTTAGGAAAGCAGCTTATCCCAGTGTTAGGACAAAATAACCTAACTTCTGCTTTCCTTCAGAAGTGAGGCAGGAGCGTCTGTCCATAAATCTTCCTCTGGACCTCCTCCTGTGTCTTCCTTATCAAGTCTGAGGACCCAGGAAAATAGCTCAAAAGGAATGCGTCTGGTGACCACATTTAGAACATTAAAAAAACAAAAAAAAAACTGTGTGTGTGTGTGTGTGTGTGTGTGTGTAGAGACCAGAGGTTGACACTGGGCTTCATCCTGAAGTACTTCCCATTATTCTTTGAGTCAGGGTCTCTCACTAAACCTGGAGCTTGCCAGTCCAGTTCTGGGAATACAGGCACACACTGTTACACCCAGGATGTTATGTACATTCTGGGGGTCCATACCCGAGTTCTCCTGTTTATGTGGCAAGGACTTGACCCACTGGTACACTGCCTGGCACCTAAAACTCTGATTTTTTTTCTTTTTTATATTCTGACTACACCCTCCCCATCCTCCTCTTCCAGTCCCCCCCCCCAATCATCTCCCTCCTCCAATCCCTCCTCTTCCACCTCCATCCAGGAAAGGGCAGGTCTCCTATGGGAATCAGTAAAACATGGGATATATCAAGTTACAGGAAGACTAAGCCTCTCCCCATGTATTAAGGCTGGGTGAGGAGAAGTAGGGTCCCAAAAGCCAGTAAAAGAGTCAGAGACAGCCCCTGTGCCCGCTGCTAGGAGTCCCACAAGAGGACCAAGCTACACAACCGCAGCGTAAACACACTGCCCAGGTCAGGCCCATGCAGGCTCTCCAGCTGTTCGTTTCCTCTCTGTGAGCCCCTATGCGCCCAGGTTGGCTGACTGTGTGAGCCTTCCTGGGATGTCCTCCTCCTCCTCCACGGGTTTCTGAACTCCAGCTAATGTTTGGCTGTGGGTCTCTGCATCTGCCTCCATCAGTTGCTGGATGACGCCTCTAGGATGACAATCTGGTCACAGGAGACCACCGCTTCAGGCTACTCACCCACTATTGCTAGGAGTCTAAGCTGGGGACTCCCCTGCGCCAGGCTTCCGCCTGACCCCAAAATTGCCTGTCCCCAGCAGCAGCCCGCCCAGCACTCTCCCCCAACCTGATCCATCATCTAAACCTCTGATTTTAAAGTTTCCAAAGAACTTCTGCTAACGGACATTGATGATAATATTGCTGGTGTTGAAATTATCCCGACTGAGTCAGAGACCGCGGCCCTCTCCACCTGGCAGCACTAATACCCTGTGATGAGAGATCACGGCCGCTCTCCTCTTTTTCAGTTTCGTTTTCCAACTCTGAAAGAGAAGAAAGGAGACCACATCCTTTGTACTCTCATATATAGGTGGAAAGAAACAAACACACAGTTCCCTGCACATTGATGTGGGCTTAGTCACAATGAAGAACTTCTGTGCTGCACGGGCGTCTTCTCTTATCACTGCCGTTTTTCTTCTGCTAATTCCTGAAGGTAAGACAGACTCGCATCGTTTCCAACACAGCCATAATGGAGCAGACTTTTGTGATGCTTTAACAACGGTGCCTATCCATAACTGATTCAATACCCAAAGCCTGGGAGCGGTTAGCATTACTTTTTGAATTGTATGTGTCTTAGAAAGAAAACTATATATATTTATTTGTAGTTTCCAAAAGTTAGCAAAAACCAACTGGTGATTGCTGTCATCCATAGCTTGAATGTTGCTTTAATAGACAATGAGAACAGGAGCAAGGAATGAGTGAGCCATTCTTGAGCTGGGGAATCAAGCTCTACCTTTTGAGAAAGGAAGCAGCGGGGACTTCAAATACTCCGTCCTTTCTTCCAATACTGCACAGGCTGCTCTGCAGAGCTCAGCTGAGTCTGAGCTGGAAGCAGATGCCAGTGGGGACTCGTAGGTGCTTCTTGCTGTTGCTTTTGGTGAGCGTTTCCCCAGCAAGTCTTCCAGACTCTGGGGAAGACCTGTGGCTGGCTGCAGTGTTTTCTCTGGGGCTGCTCCTTCCACGAGCACAGTAAGTTCGCTCCTGCCTGAGCCGTGCTCCCGCCCCTGGGAACACCATCGCTCCTCTCGCCCTGACTCCGGGAGAACAGCTTCTCATGGTCCTCCGTGCTCCTTGGAGAACCTCCTAGGAAGCTTGGTATGGGGTAAATGGCTGGTAAATACAGAGGCGGCCATGATTTCTCCCAGGACCCATAAGTGGTGGGCAGGAATTCCAAAAGAAGTTCTAGGCCAACCTTTATACCCAACAGCGAAAATGAATTTTAAAACAAGGTTGAAAGATGTCTGGGACCGAAAGTGGACCCGTGCCCAGCCCAGCCCAGCACATAGGCACTCAGTCGTGTCAAATCCCCCCCCCCCAGACGTTAGAGCAGGTTTTCTTTTCCTTTATAATTGCATTTTGCTGTTGTTGTGTGTGTTCTTCAAGTACAACCATAAAAGTAGCATTTTCTTTTTTCCTGTTACACTGTTTTCTGTGTTCAGGAGGAACTATGTGAACCCAGAAAGGAAAGATGCAGGAAAGCAAGCTGTGAAAATTCATAACTAGTCAGAATGATCTGGAAGACTTTTTAAACACATGGTCTGAACATCACAGAGCTCCTGCCTCATCGATCCTAAAATGGGGCAGGGGGCTTGCTAATTTAAAAGCTTCTGCCTGCTCTAACACTTACCACAAACCTTTCTCAGTGCAGTTAGTGGCAGGACCCGGCCTTATGCTTGGGCTAGCCTGTGCTCAGGCACAGAACTCTACAGAAGAGACTGTTCTCGAATTCATGGCCCACAGACACTCCTTTGTAGCCCAGCTCTGGAAGGGTCGCCCCAGGGAAACTTGGGATGTGGCCAAAATTCTTTTGGTTCTAGACAAGTCTATTTCTAGAGCCTGAAATTCTGCCTTCCCTCCTCCCTGACGGAAGGTGGGCCATGTGCCCTTTCCTGGCCTCTGACCCTCCTTAATCTGGTGGGAAGTCCCTGGCCTACCGCTGATACTTGTGAATTTGGCATTTAGTTTGACTTACTTGTGGAATAAGAAGTGTTGGTCCCTACTCAAGAAACCATAACTCTTGGCCAATGGTCAGGAGTATTTTAGGAGACTCGGAGAATATCTTGTGTAGAAGTTGAAGATCTGAAGGATGTCACAAGGATGCGGGGTCCTCTCCATTGTGTGCACGCTGTCTTTGTGACTGTGCCTCTCTATCGTCCAACGGTGTCTATCACTCTGGTCCGGCTCATGAAAGTTTTAATAAAGTGGCTTATCTACTTACAGCACCTCTACCCCTCTTCCTTCTACTCCTGATAGCTCATTTGGAAAGGGTTTTAACTAAACCATGTTTGGCCTGAGGACTGAAACACAACCTCAGTTGTGACCTGTGTTATTCTCTCTGCTTGTGAATGAGAGTGATGCTCTTAATACCCAAAATCTCACAATGACCAAAATCTTCACAGAGGGTCACAGAAACAAGGTGCTAACATCAATTTGTATGTTGTTTTTGCAAGTGTGGGGGGGGGACGGGCTTCTACAATCCATTCCTACCGGGCTCCTCCGATTAACACTCACCCAGAAGGGAGTAGGGGCACTCAGGGCTGCATTAGCTCCGTCAATTCCTCCAGCAACTCCTGATGGTATCGGCCACTGCACAGCTCTCTGCCCTTGGCAAAGCTTGAGCTCTGAAGCTACGGTTGCAACAGTTCCAGCAGAATGGTTCCTGGAACACCAGTGATGGGCTTCTGTGAATGTGACAGTAGGGACTTCTTGGGAACCCCAATGGGTCATGACAGGGTCAGACGCCCAAAGGTCTGCGTAGAGGAAAAGAGGAAGGTAAACAGAGGTAGTACCATTCTCTCCAAATGCAAAAGGCACGCCTTGTCGCAGAGTGCGGCTGTTTTGAGGAGCTATTTGGAGTGGGAACTGACCTGAGTTGCCTTTTTCTACTGGGCAGGTGGCTGTGTAAGAATCATTGGAGGAGAAACAGTGGTTCCTCACTCAAGACCTTACATGGTCTTACTTAAACTTGGCCAAAAGACCACCTGTGCTGGCGCTTTGATTGCAAAAGACTGGGTGCTGACTGCTGCCCATTGCAAAAGCCCGTAAGTTCTTGAGACTCGAGTTCTGTGGGAATATTCTAATGAGGAGAAATAATAAAAATGAAAACACTACACCTCACTAATACATTGGGAAGTCACTAGTATTTCCACAGGCGCGTGAAGTCCTTAGCCAGTCACACTGATCTGAAAGGAAGGTAAGCCCAGAATTGTCGCAAGGAGCCAGTCAGTGAGGAATACAGACTCTGTAAGCTCTGTCTGAAGGTCCCCACAAGGAAAACATAAAATAAAAAGCAGAGATCACAGTCTCGGAGGGCAGAGGGAGGCGGACGTGGATCTGGGAGGAAGTGGGGGAGGAACAGGGTTGACTGCCATCAAAATACATCGTATCGACGCTTTTTTAAGGAAAGGAAAGATAGTAAATGGGTCCGTTAAGTGGAAATAACATCACTTTGGCAAGCATATAAAGCGAGGCGCACTAGTGAGAATTAACAAGCTAGCAAACTGGGTAAAGCAAAAGCAGCAGTGGGCCGCCAGACTCCTCCCTATGTGTCATCACACAGCGCCCACGTCTTCCGTTTCTCTAGAGCTAAGTCCATTCGCTGTGTGAAGTCCATGTGGAGGAGGAATCCCCACCCTTCTCTGCCAAGCGGCCTCTTTCATCTGTCACCATGATGACAATCCCCAGTACCTGTGCTCCTGACACAATGCCACATGGACCACATACGTTCCATCTAACTGAAGCTGACTAAAATTACAAATTCGCTCCTTTGGCCATGCACCAAAGTCCTAGTCCCTATCTGTGCCTCGTGCTTTTGGGACCATGAAATTTACAGAACATAGTATTATCAAAGCGTGTTCTGGAATGTAAAGCTATGATGTCTTATGTGAGACCAGCCTCAACCGGAACAATGGAGAAAAGGCCCCCTGAGTATTGCTCATTTTGTGTTGTTTTGTGTTGTGAATGACAAGAGCTATAAGTATGACCACACTGGGAAACATCTGCACCCTGTGTGGCATGCCCATAGGATCCCTTGCTAAGCCTTCTGTTTCTGGAAGCTTTCCCGCCTGAGTTTGTTTGCTTACAAAGGGATCTGCTAGGAACTGCTTTCCTGCCTCTGGGTCTCCTGGGAGCTTTGCTTTACAGGGATTTGCAGCCTAGTTGTCTACCACAGCTAATCGGGGAAAGAAAAGAGTGGAAACAAAACCCAAGATCTGGGTTATCTTGTTATAAATATGCTGTTGGAGATGACAAGTGTGATGACTCCGATGTCATCTGTCCCCTCAAACGTTCATTTGCTGGAAGTTTGGTCCCATGGTAACCACACCGAGAAGTGGTTGAGACCTTTAAGAGACAGATCATGGGTAAAAGTGGGCTTTGGAGTTGGCAGTCGCTGTGAAGGGTATCTTGCTGTAAATCTGGCCACTCCCTTGCTTCCTCTGTCCCTCAGCTGATCCCTTTCGTGAACCCTCATCCTTCCTCTTCTGCACCATGAGCTGCCACTGTCCCAAGTCCCTCGTGAGAAAGAAGCCCAACAGACGCGGTGCCTTGCTCTTGAACTCCAAAAAGCTGTGAGCCCAAGGAAATACTTTATAATACATCGCCCTGGAGAGTTTGTTAAGTCTACATAAATCTAAGACAATAATGATAACGGATTCGTATATACCATATCCCTCAAGGCAGGCATATTCTTTCAAGCTACAAAATTTCTCCAAAAGCAACATTTACATCAATGGCATAATGAAACTGTTCGACACATATCATGACCAGATCCTGATTTAACCAACAACTAGTATGGTATCTATTACAGGAGAAAGGGTTCTCAGGTCATTCTTGGAGCTCACTCAATAGACAAGGATGAGCCAGAAAAACAGATATTATCCATTAAGAAAGCATTTCCCTACCCATGCTTTGACCAGTATACACACGAAGGTGATCTGCAGCTTTTACAGGTACGTAACTTTGATGGTCTCTTTCCCTTTCAGTAACAGAACTTCTAAAAAATATCACCACTTACATGAAAGTATGTTTCTAGTCCCCCACCTGGCACAAATAAGGAAACCCCACAGGGATAGGTAAGAAGTTCAAACATTAACATTCATTGTAGTTGGCATTTTCACTGGGCTCCCAAATAGAGAGATTTATTATTCGTTATGAATGCTCAGCCTTAACTTGGGCTTCTCCCACTAGCTCTTTAACTTAATTTAAACTATTTCTATTCATCTGTTTTGCCTCAGGGCTTTTCGCTTTTCTTTCATTCTGTTTGCCCTACTTTGCTGTTTACTCCGTGGCTGGCTGGCTGGCCTCGGCATCTCCCCGGCAACTCCCCGGCATCTCCCCGGCATCTCCCAGGCATCTCCCGGGCACATCCCCGGCATCTCCCGGGCACCTCCCGGCGCCTCCCCGGCATCTCCCGGGCATCTCCCTGGCATCTCCCTGGCATCTCCCCGGCATCTCCAGGGCATCTCCCCGGCATCTCCCCGGCATCTCCAGGGCATCTCCCGGGCACCTCCCCGGCATCTCCAGGGCATCTCCCGGGCCCCTCCCCGGCACCTCCCCAGCATCATCTCCCTGGCATCTCCCCGGCACCTCCCCGGCATCTCCTGGCGCCTCCCCGGCGTCTCCAGGGCATCTCCCGGGGCCCTCTCCGGCGTCTCCCCGGCATCTCCCCGGCATCATCTCCCTGGCATCTCCCTGGCGCCTCTTTTTCTTTCTTTTCCCAAGCCTAAATTCTTCCTCCAACCTACTCTCCTGCCCAGAAGTTCCCTCACAATTGGCCATTCAGCTTCTGATTAGACCACTTAGGTGTCTTAGGCAGGCAAGGGGAAACAGCAATACATCTTTATATAGTTAAACAAATGCAACACATCTTTGCATAGTTAAACAAATATTCCACAACATAAATAAATGCAACACACCTTTATATAGTTAAACCAATGTACCAAATCAATTAATCTCATGCTCTTAACTATTTATGTTTGTTTTCCAACAGTTAAACAAAAAAGCAACCATTAACAAAAATGTGGCTATCCTTGCCCTGCCTAAAAAGGGGCACGATGTAAAACCAGGAACCAGATGCCAGGTTGCAGGATGGGGGAAATTTCAGAATAACTCACCTTTGTCTCCTACTCTGAGAGAAGTCAACATTACTGTCATAGACAGAAAAATCTGCAATGATGAAAAACACTATAATCTTAATCCTGTAATTGGACTAAACATGATTTGTGCGGGAAACCTCCGTGGTGGAAAGGACGCATGCCAAGTAAGTGAGACAAGATGGAGTGTGTTAGCTACTGGAGCAAGGCACGTGGGTGCAGATGGTGTGGCGTTGTGCTTGGTCACGTGGGAGCATTGGCTTCTACAGTTTCCAGCTGTGCTTGTTTGCTGGCCTGTTTGTTGAAACAGGAAGTCTCACTATGTAGGTCTGGCTGTCCTGGAACTCACTACTTAGATGATGCTGGACTGGAACTCAACAGAGATCCGCCTGCCTCCGTCTCCCTAGTGCTGGGATTAAAGGCCTGCACCACTATGCCCAGCCTTCTACTGTGCTTTCTGAAATTTGGTGAGATCTAAGTGAATAAAATAACATACTGGGCTCCAAAGAGTTGGTAAAAGTAAGACTCCACTGCTGGGAAAGGACTTTGGGCCACCTACTACATTGACTTTGTTCCCTATATTAAAAACAAAACAAAGAAACAAAACTCTTAGAAGGAATGGTGTGGTATTTCTCAGTTTTCACTGAGATTTATAGATACAAACAAGCTACATACAGTTACAAAGAGTTCCTGGACAGACTTAAATCTTTCCCACTTCAACACAACCCAAAAAGTTCACCTGACTTTGCTGTGGACATGTTTGAAATGCCAGTCATTCCCAAGCCTGGCTGGGGACCTGGGACTAGATCCCGTAGCTTCTTAGCACACTGAGCAAAGTAAACTGTCTCAGGCATGACCCTCTCATCAGAGAATGTGTCCCCAAAAACATGAGGGACAGGGCCTGACTAAAGACAGGAATTAAAAAGAATGCTTTCAAACCCTCAGTTCTTGCCTTTCCCAGAGCCTCCTGAGGTGAGGGTGGTGAGTCTATCATCAGGGAAGTCAGACAAACTATCTCTTCAGGACCAGCATTGGCTAAATGCCAAGAAGAAATGGCATCTGAGCTGAATTTGCTCAGGGAGAGAGTATACCTCAGCATTCTCACACGATCCATTACGTCATACAGATATAAAACCAACCTTTCCCTGAAAGGGGGACTTTGATTTCCTTCCTTCGGGGAAATAGTTATTGCGAGAGGAGCCGAGATCACAGCAGTTACTTTCCCTAAATATAGTGTCTGTGTGCGCCTGTTTCACTCCATGCTGAAAAGATGACCAAGAGGGATGGCTTTCTGGAAAAGGGAAACCCATCTTAAAATTAGTGGCTGAAATATATAATATAGCTTTCATTGATCTATAAATATTAAAATATTGCTAAGCGTCTTGATGTTTTAAGCAGCGATTTTCAGTGAATTCTGGGCTGATCTTCACACTAAATGTTACAGAACTTCTTCATAACCCATAATGATCTCACCTCATCCCACCCCTCTCCTTCCCCCAGGGAGATTCTGGAAGCCCTCTGCTGTGTGATGGCATTTTCCGAGGCATCACAGCTTTTGGCCTGAATGGGAAGTGTGGAGATCCCCGGGGACCTGGAATCTATACTTCTCTCTCAAAGAAGCATCTCACGTGGGTAACTGCAACCATGAAGGGCACAGTTTAGATGTGTGAGTTTCATTTTATCTGCTGTCATGTCTACATCTAATCGCAAATAAAATCAACTGAATGACCGCACAGGTTTCTCTCTTGTAATGTTCTTGGGCCAATCTCCATGAGCACAACCAAGAGTCAGAAGGCATAGATAACTCAGGAGGGAGATCAGAGAGCCAGGGCCACAAGTGTCCTGCATGTGTCCCAGGGCAGGGGACTTTCTCCCTGGACAATCACTTCACGCTCAGCAGATCTCTCTGGCAGCAAGCGTAGTGAAGGGCTCAGGCAGTGTGAACGCCCTGGAGTGTAGGAGTGAAGAGGAAAGCCTAGCTCCCAGTGTTACAACTCCACTGCATTATTCTCAGTTTTATATATGCGAGAGCTGAGGGGCAGACAGCAGAGATGACTCAACGGAGTTGCGCTAGGCAGGCGTGCTTTGCCTCCTGGCCTTTGGACCAGGATGAAACACAACATCAAAGGCTGAGTAGAATAGAAACTCGAGTTCTAGGCGGTGCAAATGCTGTCCCTGGCCAGCCAAGAAAAGGACGGTACAGAAGTCATTCCCTGGTGGCTTTCATTTTAGCCTTGGATCATCTAGGTCATCTCTTGGCTCCCCTTGGCCGTGAGTCTGGGTTGATGTCACCAACATGGTGGTCATGGTGATTGTCATGCCTTCATAGGGATAGAGTAAGGAATTGTGATCAAAACATTTTCCTGGAAAAAAAAAAAAAAAAAGCCTCATGTTTGCTCAGCGCTTTTAATTTAGTGGACAGCCATCATCCCAGTGGCCATTTTGAGATTGGGTTATGGGAGCAAATTCCTCCAACATTAGAAATGTTTACACGTGTGTATGTAATTATGCATATACGTATATACACATACATAAACAATTCTTGTCCAATCCAAAACCATACACTGAGAGTCAGCTCTTGACACCAACAAAGAAGGAAAACTCAGGTTGGTTAACACTAGTGACAGGGTTTCAGGGACAGTTGCTCACCAGACTCACGGACCTGTGTACGGCCACCACTGCCCAGGACACACCCTAGAGAGTGCAACCCTCACATTAGCACCCCAATAAAGCTGATAACACCCAAGGATCAGGCTCCCTGAACTACAAAATGAAATTTCCATTAGAGAAATTCTGGGATGATGTTTTTGACATGTCATAATCTTTAATATGGAGTTAGAACTTTAATGATAATAAATAGACTATTCTCTACTGAATTCCAATTTTTGAAGCCAGGACATTTATTTTATGACTGATTGAAGCCCTCAACATGATCTGGATGCTACCCTCTTGGGTTTAGGCACTGTTCCTTCACGGAATCTGTGGGAATCTTTGATAGACAGATTTTAGGTGCCTCATCTGCCCAGTCCTGGTAGTGTTTCCTCCAGTTACACTTCCTCCTGTGCTTGGCAGGGCAGCCATATTTGCCACAGGTCGACTTCTGAAGGTGGTAGGCCTAGAGCCACAGTGGTGGCTCGTGTCCATCTTATTGTGACACTTCCTAAATTACAACGTCCCTTTTACCTTCTTGCCTCTGCTGCCAAGGCCAATGATATCGGAAAGCATGCATTCCATTCTTAAAATTGTTGACTCGAACACCTCACGCATTTCTAGTTAAAACACAAATGTGCCTTTCTTCCTGGAAAAGTCACTGGTGTCTATTGAAGAGAAACCTGTTTATATTTTATAACTTAGCAATTCCACTCTTGAGTATATACCAAACTGGTGGATATCTGCCCAGTAATGTCAGTAATATACATACCAGATTAATTACTAACACACAAAGCTGTGAACAACATAAATAGCCACTTACAGTAAGATAAACAAGTTTACATTCATACGGTAACATATATAGCAGTGAGGATGGCACCGTAGTCTCATGAACACACACTTATTGCACAAGTCCACCCATCAGGAGGTAGGCGCAAGTAGAAACCAGTCCATCGTGACATAAGTCGTGATGCGGAGGCTGCTCTCTGACAATACCCACAGATATCCTCTTAGGGGACCACGACTGTTCTTATCTTAATCTGGATTGACCTTACTGTTACCTATTCATGACCTAAGAAATTTATCCAGCTATCCACTAAGGACTTCTATACGTGAAGCTTTATATTACAAAATTCAGAAAGCAGTTGTAGTCAACGCTTCTGTTTTACATGTTATCTAGACTTTTTAAAATTTCTTTATAAAAATTATGTCCCAAACTTCCCACTAAAATTAATATCGGATAGAAATATGTAGATGTTTTTCTTAAGTGAGGCCCCTTTGCTCACATACCAACATTAATTGTAGAAACGACCTTTGGTCATGACAGTATTGTAAGACTGCTAAACAGGAAAGCTAAAATAGAACAGGGGACAGACGCTGGAAAGGAAGTCGTAACAGGCTCATTGCAGCACACAAGGGTAGGAGGGTTGGCAGGGGGTTTGCAGACACATAAGTTCTACCTTCAGTGCAGAGTTTGAACTAATGACAGGAAAGAAATCAAAAAGGAGAGCTGGAAAAGGCAGTTGGAACTATGATGGGAGGACTTAGAACAGCCAGGTAGGAAAGAATTGTTGAGAACTCATTATTACTGAAACGGTGAAAAATGAATCTTGATAGAGGAAAGCGCAAAGAACAGAAGGCAGGAGAGGGGGGAGGAGGGGGAAGAGGAGAGCGGGAGAGGAAGAAAGTCAGAGCAGGGTACGAGACGCCCCTGCGTAGAACGCAGAGAACGCAGCAAGCAGGAGCCACATCACAGCCTTCGACCCCAACAACCTAACACCTAACGGGGCCTGCTGCACTGGCTAGAAGGGCTGGGTGTCTGGTGGCACTTCCACACACAAGCTGTCCCATCTGCCCTAGCAGAGAACAAAGGGGGCTGGGGACAGGCGGAGCAGGCGAGCTGTGACCTGTAGGAGAAAGAAGGTCGGGGCTGAGAACTCAGGCAGCCTGGGGCAGGGCCAGCACCTCCGTTCCCGGTACCTGCCCAGTTCACCAGCCAGGCCAGCCAGGCCTTTCACCCAGCACCTGAGGCCTGGGGCTGCTCCACCTCTGCCCCTACTCATCCCTACCCCCACTCACCCCACCCCACCCCATCACTGCCTGTGGCCATCCTAACAAATGCCCACAAGTTGGGTGGTTCTGCACCTGAAACTGACTCCCCTACAGTCTGAGGTTGCAGTGTGAAGTTCAGGGGAGGAAGGGATGGTGCACCCTCCGACCGCTCAGCCTTGCCACTTCTGATTCTTGACAGCCGCAGCCCACACCCTCCAGCCTGCCTCTGTGAGCACACCGACTCCTCTGGGTCTGGTCTGCTTGTCTTACAAGTCACAGCACACTTGACATTGGGCTTAGGCCTGCCGACAGAGCCCAGAACAGCTCCCCCGCAAGAACCTGAAACTCATCAGTTATGAAAAACCCTTTGTCCACAGAAGGTCACAGCCCACAGAGATTGCACATGAGTGTCTCAGAGGAAACTGTGCCTCGGCCTACACCCCCACTCTGGCTCTGCTGTCATTAGCTTTATCTTCTGCACTCTCAGAAGCCAGAGAGTACCATCACAGTACTGAGCCAAGGCCATCCCTTTGGATGGATTCCAAGAGATAGATGGCATAAACCGATGCAGCTTAGAGGAAAGGGTCCAAAAGCTCTTCCACATTGTGAACACGATTCTTGCTTACAGGACTCTGGAGCTCGTGGCTTCCCTGCTGCAAGTTTGTTCATTATTCCCAAAGGGCAACCTCAGTTACAATTGCTCTGTACAAGGTTAATAGATATTAAAAATGAAAACATTAGCTGGGGAATGCTGAGTCATCATTAAAGTCAACTCTGTATTTCAGAACTTATTTTAGGGCTGCTGTATGCTCTGGAGCTGTTTGGAGGCTGAGGCTATGGTAGGTAGCATTTCTCAAGCTCACCTGACTGCACGGTTCTTTTGACTCTGGCGTGACAAGGTACTCACGCGTATCACCTGGAAAACGCTTTGCAAAACCTAGCCTAACCCAACGGTTATCAAAACCTTGGGCCAAAACAAGCAAAGGTGATTCCATGAGAAGAGGCTAGGGATAAGAGGGTAGGAAAGGTAACAAGGCCAGATAAGATTGAGTGGGGAGGTTTTTGATGGTACCAAACTCAAGAGGGGGACACCTTTTCACAGAAGCATGATTTGTTACGAGTCAGCTGAGAGCTGGGCTCTCAGAGTTCATCTTGTCCTGTGGTATAAGATCATCAGCACAAAGGAGTGTGTATGCACTGTTTAGACCCTGGAGGACACATAACCTAGGTCCTAGACCCTTGGCAGTCTTGTTGCATCTAAATATTCGCTTTGGGCACAAGGTCACATCACAAATCAACAGCAAAGCCACTGTAGCCTGGCCTTTTCACTGGGACTATTGGCTGACTAGTGATGACAGAGACTTATTAATTATAAAAGCTCAGCCAATAGCTTAGGCTTGTTACTAACCGGCTCTTAAACTTAAATTAACCCATCTTTATCAATCTACTTTTTGTCTTGTGTCGTCATTACCTTTCCTCTGTTCTACCCATGCTGCTTCCGCTCTGCTTGGCATAAACCAAGGCAGGAGAGAAAGCTCAGTAGCCAAGAGCACACACTACTCTTGCAGAGGACCTGAGTTCAATTCCCATCAGCCATGTCAGTCAGCTCACAACTGCCTAATCCCAGCTCCAGAGCACCTAACTGAACTCTGAACTCTGAGAGACTTTGCACTCACCACACACACACATAATTTAAAGCAAATAATTAAAAATAAACAAAAGGGTATAGAACCGTGCACTAAAGCTTTTCAGTCGTTTTATCCTATTCTCATTTTGATAGTCTAATTCTGTTGATATATTTATGTTGTTTATTTTGAGCAGCCTAAAATATGTGCAAGAGAGCTACCTTGTTGAAGAAGTGGGAAGTGAAATAACTCTTAGAACTAGCACATTTTTAGCTGGGGAAAGCATACTTCCCCAACAAGTGCCAAGCTCTGGTTTGATCCCAAGTACAACAGGAAAGAAGGAAAGAAGGGAGAGAAGGGAGAGAAGAGGGAGGGAGGAAGGGAAGGGAGGGGAGGAGGG